GTGACTGCGTTGAGTTGGGCTCCGTGTCCCATTGAGGGCAGGATGGCTTGAAATTTGTACTGCGTCATGATGGATGAGGGTCCACTGTCGTGTCTGGTGTGGTAGGTGCTCGCTCCGTGTGCGTTACGGCTGCTGGGAGTGCTGGAGATGTATCTGGTGATGCGGATGCGGTGGGTGTTCCGGTGAATGTGTCGTGTGCTCCGAATGACGGCAGCCTGAGCTGTCGTGTGTGTGTGTGTGAAGGAATTGTTCTGCTGCCAGTGCTGAGGCTGAGCATGAGAATTACACTTTCAGTGGCTTTGGTGTGCGCATGCATGGCAGGAATGGTGAGCTGGGTGCTGTGTGTCATGTGGCTAATGCGGTGCACACATGTAGCAACTGTGCTGCCGGCTGTGCAAGGAAAGAGGAAGGGGCCGCCGTTGCCTTCACGATGAATGTGACGACACATAAATACGCCGGTCCTTATGAATTGTGGTGGCGTCAATTTTCTCCCGATGGAACCATCCATCCGCCTGCACGGAGCGGCGATGCTGACCGGACGGGCATCTGTCAGTTGCCGCCACCCCGTGAAGGGAAGATGACACAAAATCTGGTGGGACAACTGCGCCGCAAGTGAATGCTGAGCCGTCACGTCAACACGAGGATCGGCGACGGTCTGCGGCGGCTGACGGACCCAACACCGTCGATCGGAGTCCCGCATCCAACACGGCGACCAACACGTCCGGGACGAGGCCTGAGTTTGCCAGCAATCCGAGCGAAGTGATGGTCCCGAATGCATCCAAGAAGAGGCCTTCCTTTGCCAACGGTCCGAGAATATTAGTGGCGTCGAATGCATCCGGGATCATGTCTGTCACTTGTGGCGGCAGGGAACACGTTGCTGCGGGTAACACGGACGAGGTGGGTGAGCGCAGCGCCAATGGACACTAAACTCCTTTCTTCAGAAAATGGCGTTGCAGGCAGTGGATTTGTTGCTGAGGGTGATGCGGGCGGATTGACTCAACGCAATGCCTCTGGAAACGAAAAAAAAAACCTCAATTGCGAGAATTCACCGCGCAGTATTCCGGGAGCGGTGGGAGTCCCGACGACTGCTTCGCCCTGCTCTACGACGCGAAATTGACACTGCGCGAGTTGACTGTTGACGGCACTGTGCGTGTGTGCGTGTATTGGGTGTTGCTACTTCTTCTGGGATTGTGTGGAGTTGTGGCGGTATTGTGAGCCACAGAGTGTGGAGTTGCGACTCCTCACGGAGAACATTCGCCGCGTTCTCTGCGTGTTTTTTTTTATTATTTACATTTTACTGTTGGCTTTGTTGTTTTCCTGGAATAATAAGTATCATTGCTGTTCCTTTATTTAATGGTCGGTTGCTGCACACTGTCATGAGTGAAGTACTTCTACCCCTTCTTGTCTTGTTTTTTTTGTTGTTGCCCACACGCGGTGCCGGCCTCATTGCTGTGCGTCCCACGGACTGCACGAAAGGAGGATTGGAGGAACAGGCCGGATGACGCACGAAATGTGAGGGATGTTGTGTGGGCTCAGGGAGCAGGACGATATTTTTTTGCTTTATTTTTTTGGTGCGGGCATTATGTATACAGAATCCAGTGGTCGTTTACATTTTGCTGCTTGGCACATAAAATAAAAGACGTGCCTGATCTATTTTTTTTTTTTTTACTTTTTGGGAGATTTGCTGGGCTCTCAACTTCGTTGCTGTTCTTTTTTACTGCATTTTTAACACTTTGTTTGCAGGGCGTTGTGTGAGTTCTGCAATTGCACCGATCCCAACTGCCTCGTGGTGTGTGCATTGCCATTTTTCACTGTGTGGAGGCTGTGTGTAGTGTAGCGGTCGTGTCTTTGCTTTTGCTCTGCGTTGACGGGGAGCTAGTTTGTGCTGAAGGCTACACGCAAGTGACAGGAGTGATGGCGATGATGATGACTGGCCGTGTGCTGCTGGTGTGTGTCCTCTGCGTGCTGTGGTGCGGCGCCGCGGTGGAGGCGAAGGGTGATGGTTCTGGGATAGGTGGTGGATCTCTTGTGCAATCATAAGAACTTGAAAAGTCTCCAGAAGACTCCCAAGGCTTAAAAGATGAAGCAGGAGGTCTTAAAGAAGAATTACCTCCCGCACCTGCAGAAGATGAAGATGAAGAGGATGAAGAGGATGATGATGGTGATAGTGCAGGGACAGATGAAGAAGAAAAAACAATAGGAAGGCAGGGTGTTCAAGAAGTAGCAATTGCACCGGACACAGGTTCCGGGGAAAAGAATTTAAGTGGCAGCGGGCAGGAAACAGGTCAATCAATTGTATCTCCAGAGGGCATTTCAGCTTCCGACAGTCGAGAATCAAATGCCAGTCCTACGCAAACGAAAATAGAAAAAAAGAATGACACCGACAAAAATACACCTGCAGTAAAGAACGCACTCACAACAGGTAACGGAGAGCACACACTGCCTGCGAGAATTGCGGGAGGAAATCCTCCACCATCCCCAGAAGGTGTTGATTCCCGTGAACAGGATGGCGATGACACGACGAGTGAAGATAAAAAAAATGTTCCGTCGCCTGAGACCGCAGCCACACCACAAAGCCACCGAGACAAAGGCTCAGAAGGGACTGGGTAAAACACGAAAGCAACGACAGTAACCGCCAACACAACTGATACGACGAACACACAAAACAATGACGGCAGCACCGCGGCCTCCCACACCACCTCCCCTCTTTTGCTTCTTCTTGTTGTTGCGTGTGCGGCTGCTGCTGCGGTGGTGGCCGCGTGAGAGTGAGGGAGAGAGAGCCGTGCACCGCCCGCACACACACTCTTCCTTCTCTCTCTGTGTGTGTGTGTCCCCTTGCATGGACTCTCGCCCTCACCTCACCCCACGAGGCACACACAATAATGTGCCCATTGTATATATGCATGCACACCCATGCAGGCCCGTTGGTGCTCTCTTTTGCACGACACGCACCGCTGCCGTCCTGCTTGGCTGCATGGGCGGAGCACCGTAACTGTTTCTGTTTTGTTTTTATTGCATTGAGTGGGCGACCTCTCTCTCTCTCCCTCTGTGTGTGTGTTTTGCTTTACGGGAGTAATGAGAGTGTGTGTGCGCTGGTCGTCCCACGCTTCGGCTTTTTGTTTTGTTTTCCTTTTTGATTTTGTGGTTGAGTGCACCCATTCCGCGGCTGCGTGTGTGTGTGTGTGTGCGATGATATGAGTAATTTGCGTGTGTGCTATCTGCCTCTCTCTGCCGTTGCTTTCTTCAGACTCTCTTGTGGCGCACAGCTGCTCCGCAAGTATAGGCGCTGCCAAACACACAAGCACATGCACACACACATGCCGTGTTTAAAACGCTGAGAATGCACGCACGCACAGGATTGTGGCTGCGGAGGCCCTCGCGAGGGGGGAAAAAGCCTGCATTTTGTTTTTTTTTTGACATGTTGCTCGGTGTGTGCTGACGCGTGACGAATAACAACACGCCCCAATAAGCGGAAAAGAAGTAAAACAAAATGGCGCTGAGCGGCACACCGGTAAGCCAAAAATACGCAATCACCAATAAAAAAGCCGGCGATCACCCAGCAGGCACATCAAGCGTCCTCAAAACCAACCTGGAACAGACAAAAAAAAAGAGACAATCATAGAAAACAAAGATCCCCGCCCCCAAACAGGAAAAACATTAAAGAAAACGCGATTCTTTTTTTTGTCCTTACTGCCGGGGTTGGCCGCTGCAAGAAATAAAAAATGGTAGGGCGGTGGCCCCGGACGTTGGATACAGGACGACGTGTCGAATTATCCAACTTGCAGTGGCTGCTGCACCACACGCTGTGGTCTAAATTTTTGTTTTGAATTATGAATGGTGGTGGTCAGAGACACTCTCTTTCAATGTCTGTTTGCGTGTTCACACACTGGACGCCAAACAACCCTGAACTATCCGCTGCTTGGAGGAATTTCGCGAGATCTTGCCCACAAGGGTGCTGCACTCGGCGGATCGTTTTCGAGTGGCTGCTGCACCACACGCTGTGGTCTAAATTTTTGTTTCTAATTATGAATGGTGGTGGTCAGAGGCACTCTCTTTCAATGTCTGTTTGCGTGTTCACACACTGGACGCCAAACAACCCTGAACTATCCGCTGCTTGGAGGAGTTTCGCGAGATCTTGCCCACAAGGGTGCTGCACTCGGCGGATCGTTTTCGAGCGGCTGCTGCACCACACGTTGTGGTCTAAATTTTTGTTTCGAATTATGAATGGTGGTGGTCAGAGGCACTCTCTTTCAATGTCTGTTTGCGTGTTCACACACTGGACGCCAAACAACCCTGAACTATCCGCTGCTTGGAGGAGTTTCGCGAGATCTTGCCCACAAGGGTGCTGCACTCGGCGGATCGTTTTCGAGCGGCTGCTGCACCACACGTTGTGGTCTAAATTTTTGTTTCGAATTATGAATGGTGGTGGTCAGAGGCACTCTCTTTCAATGTCTGTTTGCGTGTTCACACACTGAACGCCAAACAACCCTGAACTATCCGCTGCTTGGAGGAGTTTCGCGAGATCTTGCCCACAAGGGTGCTTCACTCGGCGGATCGTTTTCGAGCGGCTGCTGCACCACACGCTGTGGTCTAAATTTTTGTTTCGAATTATGAATGGTGGTGGTCAGAGGCACTCTCTTTCAATGTCTGTTTGCGTGTTCACACACTGAACGCCAAACAACCCTGAACTATCCGCTGCTTGGAGGAGTTTCGCGAGATCTTGCCCACATGGGTGCTGCACTCGGCGGATCGTTTTCGAGCGGCCGCTGCACCGCACGTTGTGGTATAAATTTTTGTTTCTAATTATGAATGGTGGTGGTCAGAGGCACTCTCTTTCAATGTATGTTTGCGTGTTCACACACTGGACGCCAAACAACCCTGAATTATCCGCTGCTTGGAGGAGTTTCGCGAGCTCTTGCCCACAATGGTGCTGCACTCGGCGGATCGTTTTCGAGCGGCTGCTGCACCACACGCTGTGGTCTAAATTTTTGTTTTGAATTATGAATGGTGGTGGTCAGAGACACTCTCTTTCAATGTCTGTTTGCGTGTGCACACACTGGACACCAAACAACCCTGAATTATCCGCTGCTTGGAGGAATTTCGCGAGATCTTGCCCACAAGGGTGCTGCACTCGGCGGATCGTTTTCGAGTGGCTGCTGCACCACACGCTGTGGTATAAATTTTTGTTTCTAATTATGAATGGTGGTGGTCAGAGGCACTCTCTTTCAATGTCTGTTTGCGTGTTCACACACTGGACGCCAAACAACCCTGAACTATCCGCTGCTTGGAGGAATTTCGCGAGATCTTGCCCACAAGGGTGCTGCACTCGGCGGATCGTTTTCGAGCGACTGCTGCACCACACGTTGTGGTCTAAATTTTTGTTTCGAATTATGAATGGTGGTGGTCAGAGACACTCTCTTTCAATGTCTGTTTGCGTGTTCACACACTGAACGCCAAACAACCCTGAACTATCCGCTGCTTGGAGGAATTTCGCGAGATCTTGCCCACAAGGGTGCTGCACTCGGCGGATCGTTTTCGAGTGGCTGCTGCACCACACGCTGTGGTATAAATTTTTGTTTCTAATTATGAATGGTGGTGGTCAGAGGCACTCTCTTTCAATTTCTGTTTGCGTGTTCACACACTGGACGCCAAACAACCCTGAACTATACGCTGCTTGGAGGAATTTCGCGAGATCTTGCCCACAAGGGTGCTTCACTCGGCGGATCGTTTTCGAGCGGCTGCTGCACCACACGTTGTGGTCTAAATTTTTGTTTCGAATTATGAATG